TTGAGCGTTTGAAGGTCGGTTATGTCGTAGCAAAATCTTACGATGAATCCCAGGGCTGCTGTAGCTCTCGAAGTGATCGCGTCAATGTGCTTGACAAAACTGAGCTTCTGGTCAATGATGACGCCGAGATCTTTGTGGTCCGAAACGCGCTTGAAAGTAAAATCACCGTATTTGTAATTTGTATCGATTATATCCTTCCTTTTTGTGGTGATTGTAAGGACGTCACATTTGTCAAGGTTCAGGTGCAAATTGTTTACGTCGCACCAAACCTTGAGTTTGTCGATGGCCCGCTGTTGTTGATGATTTTGGCAATTTTTACATCATCGGCGAACAAGGAAATGAACACGTCGTCCATTTCGTCCACTATGTCGTTGATGAACAACAGGAACAATGTGGGTCCGAGATGACTACCCTGTGGTACGCCAGATGATACGTTGAATTCATTCGACTCGCTGCTCCCATACTTAACGAATTGCGTTCTGTTGGACAGGTATGATTCGATCCAAGCAAGAAGATTGTCTGGCAGGTTGAACGATCTGAGTTTCAGAATCAACCTCTTGTGTGTTACTCTGTTAAACGCTTTACTGAAGTCCGTGTAGAGAACGTCCACTTGCGCACCAGAATTTATGCCTCTCTGGGCATAGTAGGTAAATTCGGTGAGATTAGATGCAGTGGATCTGGATTTCATAAAGTCATGTTGCTTTTTGGTGATTTTTTCCTGTACCAGTGACAGAAGTTTGACGTTCACCAAATGCTCGAAGAACTTCGCCACAGTTTGGAGCTTAGCTATGCAACGGTAGTTTTCAATCTTCGATCTCGCCCCCTTCTTGAAAATGGGTGATACACTCGAGCGCTTCCATTTGTCAGGGAAATGGCCAGTTGACAATGATTCGTTGAAGATCTCGGTGAGTGGAGCCGCCAAATGACTCGCACAATTCTTTAGTATCAACGGGTACATACCATCGGGACCCGCACCTTTCTTGGTATTCACAGCTTGTAGCTCTTCGAGCACAAAATTGATGTCGAGCTGGAATTCCTCAGTTTGCTGTGACTCATCGGTAGGCGATTGTTGAACGCCTTGAGTCGATGAGTTATCGTAGTTGCTACTGAAGAAATTTGCAAACAGGTTCGCCTGTTCACTTTCGTTTGCCGTGCGCACATCACCAAATTGCATGACTTTTGGTTCGTTGTCAGTACTCTTCTTCGAATTTACATATTGCCAAAATCTCGATGCATCATGCTTGAGCGAGGATTTCATTTTGTCCACGTACGTGTTGTACAGTTCCGTATTCAGTTTATCAAACTCACGTGATGCCAAAATATACTTCCATTCAAACGACTGATGGTAGCCGGATCATCTGTAGCGTTTCCATGCCTTATTCTTCCTATTTTTCAATGTTATTAGGAATTTGTTTTTCCACGGACATTTTTGTATCGACTTGACGATGTACGTAGGGACAAATTTGATAATTGCATCGTCGAGAGTCTTGTGCAGCAAGTTCACTTTCTCAGTGATTGTCCTTCCGTGGAATAATTCGGTGAAGTTGACATTTGCTAGATGTGCATTCATGTCTCTATAGTTGGCTCGTTTGAAGTTGAATGCTTTTGTTGTGATATTGGCTTCAGTCGTATTGATTCCGTGCCATTCAAATGTAGCCATTATTGGTGGATGATGACCTTCCACTTTTTTCTTCAGTGCGTTGGCCTTATCAACACGCTCAATTGTAATGTTGGTGAAATCATTTGTAAAGAACAAATCCAATAGACGCTCCTTTGAATCATTACGTACATGATTTACCTGATGAACACCCATGCTCATGAGTCCCTGGATAAAAGTGGCCGTTGACTCAGGTGCAAATTTGGTTGGAATTTATATGTTGTCATTATTACTATCGATTGACCATTCAACATGCGGCAGATTAAAATCACCAACGAAAATAAGAACATCCTCTGGATAAGATGCTATTTGATGCATGGCCGCTAAATGTGAGTCGTAAACTGATTGCGGTGAGTTTGGTGGAATGTATGCGCAGTAGATATAGATGACGTGTGATTTAGTAGTGGCTTTCACACAAACATATTCCAGATCGTCAGCACCAGCAATTTTTATCTCTTCACTGGCGAATTTTTCATTTTTGGTTGCAATTAGTACACCACCGCCACGTTGAAAAAGTCTGTCCCTACGAAAAACAGAATACGAATCGTCAAAAAATTTAGCATCATAAATATCATTTCTGAGCCACGTCTCAGTTAGAATTATCGTATCGTAATCGTTGGAAGAAGCAGCACAATAGAAGCGCTCTTCTTCGGAACAAATGCTGTGACAGTTTTGGTAGTAAATTCTGGTGAGAAAAGCGTAATCATCCGATATGGCACGGTTTAGTGCCATCTGCTGTGATAGTCTTGTTGATTTCCTGCGCAGCGATCGTTGAAGCAGTAGCGATGGTAATTCGGCTTCACTTGCGAGCAACAGCTCTTCTGGCGCAGATTTGTACGTGCTTGCCGGCGTTTCCTTTGTGGATGCTGGTTTTTGGTGTGTCTCCAATTCGTTTGCTGAGCATACGCTTGCTAACCCCGTTTTTTGGCTTGGGGCGATCGATTGTTTTGTTTTGTTTCGTAGTTGAATTCGATTTCTCGGGTAACCTGTAATGCTAAATTTTGGCATTACTTTGGTCCTTCGTTACAATATTAATGTGTTACGGCAAAATGTAATCTGTAGAGGGAGGGAGGGAGGATATAGAATATGAAATCAATTTGGGCGTATAAATGTGGTATTTGCTATATTTTGGTGCATTATTTTTGAATTTTTGCTATTTTTTGCAGTTTTTCGCAATTTTTCTTCAATATCGCCCATGCGACTGTTTAGCCATCATGGGGGAATAAAATGTGTACTGAAATAAATTTTGGACCAGACACTATATTTTAAAAATCTTTCCTACCTGAATTGGTGGCTCAGAATCAATAAAAATGGTTGCATACTTGTAGAAGCACCATATTTTCAAATTTCCGACTTCAATTTTCTACACGTATGTAGGAAATGTTCTACACGTATGTAGGATTTTTACGAGCTTTCCGAATATGATAGTGGTTTGGAGTAAAAACCTCTGACCTGGTTTTGCCCTAAATTTGCCCCTAAATATTGATTTTCAGTGAAAAATTGACATTTTGAGCCTCCCCTGTCCTGAAGGTGTCAAACGGACGGACTGTCCGTCTTTTTAGCCCGTCTGTCCGTCCGTCCAGGGCTCTTGAATTTTTTTTTTGCGCGTGGAGGAATTCTACTACCACCCACAGAAGTTATAAGTTGTAATGGTTTATAAGAATGGTATAGTATTTGTGAAAAGGTTCATTTTTGAATTCAATCGACTTTTTTTTATTCGTTCGCAACTAGATGCTGTTGAGTTGTTGTTGTTTATAACAAAACAATATATCAATAACCCTTATTGATTCCGAATAAATAAAAATATTTTTAATTTGGATTATAGAATCAAACGTCTGTGAATTCATAATGAAAAAACCAAATGTTCATGTTCACGTTTATTGTGAAAAAATACATCAAAATATAGAACTGATTGATTTAAATGAGTAACGGTCAATTTTTGTTCACCGGGATAAATTTTTTTTGGAATAAAGACTAAATCATATGCAGTTTGATGGCTTGATCGATCAGAAGTGTATGTTCATACAACCTGTCATGTACTACAATCTTTATAAATCATGTTTTCACTCATTTTTTGAGACCGAGAGGTAAAATATTCATACCTAGGTGTAAATTTTACAACGTGAGAGGTAAACTTTTACACCTCGAGGGATAAATATTGCCCCGCGAGGGATAAATCTTAATTTACCCTAAATACAAGTTGAAAAGAACATAATTATGAAATATGTTTCATATAATATGTTATCGAATCTGGTTGGATTTCTTCGTGAATACAAAACGAATGAATCCTTTGCACATGGAAATGTTATTTATCGTTTGACAGTTGATAGCCACTGTTGACAAGCAGCGGCTACATTGCATAATATCACACCCGTTATCGAGTACAAAAATAAAGAAAGGAAAGAGTAGGATAGTTGTTAGCTTGACATGACTCCTATATTCGGTCAATAAAAGAAAAACAAAGATTTTATATCTCTATAGGACTAGTAATGTAGTTACATCAGTTATGTTAAGCGTTTGATCGATCATTTCGGTTTTTTTTTTCATTTTTTCTTGTTGGTAAGTCATTTCCCCATTTTGATAAATCATTTTCCGATTTTCGTAAATCATTTCCCCATTTTCGTAAATCATCTTCCCCATTTTGATTAATCATTTTCGTAAATCATTTCCCCATTTTCGTAAATCATTTTCCTATTTTGATCAATCATTTCCCCAGTTTTTGATATATCATTTCCCCATTTTGATAAATTAATTCCCCATTTTGATAAATCAATTCCCCATTTTGGTACGACATTTCTACATCAACCGTTTGAAAATAAACATTCAAAACGTGAACAGTTTTGCCAAGAGATTCCGCGACGGAACCAACTATTTGCCCAAATGTGTTCGCGCTAAAATCATGTCTACACTCATTTGGCAACACACAAACGTCAGAACAGTAGCAGCACCGTGAGAATGACGGTTGCCATGAACAACATTCACATTCAGTCGAATCGTCAAACACACCACACACACTTGCCGTCGACTTTCAATCCACTCAATCTTTTACCCATTCAATCGCTCACAGAAATAATTACACTCCAAATCATTGTTCATCACATTCAGAAACCTTTTTGCATACAATGTGAAACGCATTCAATTTCACAAAAATCCAATTTATTTATTTATTATATTTTCAATTTGAGAGCAATTCATTAAATTAAGTGTTAAAGAAAAGAAACAATCGGGTCTTGTTTTTATGAACTCTAAAACTATAGTTTACCTACAACAAAACAAATATTCTGTAATCTGTAATAAATTTTAATGATGATAATTTTAAAAAACCTACTTAAAATTTAAATAGAATTGCCAAAGCAACTTCCAGTGATAACGGGAATTCAGCCAAGGTATCGACAGGGTGACGCAATACGAGGCAACTGTACATCCTTTAATTCGAAACCAGTCGCTAATTTGACATGGATGATAAATGATGTGGCGGTAAGTTTATTATTTTCTCTTTTCGTACAATTGAAGAACATATTTCATATCAATAACATAAATCAGATGAAAAACCTCTAGACGAGTTTAAAATGGAGTGACGCTACTGAGCGTGGATCTACCACTCGAAAAGACTGATATCATTTTGAGTGATGCTAGAGCGCTGTATTACCACTGGATTCAGCGCCGTAGCCAGGCCGGCGCAATGGGTGCATTGCACCATCCAAAAATTTCAAAGGTGCAACAAAATCGGGTGCAAAATCGGGTTTCAAAGGTGCAACAAAAGAAAAATTTCGATTTTGCAGCCTCCAATTTTTTTTTCTGGCTACGGCGCTGACTGGATTCGAAGTTCAGAAGTGTTTTTCGCATTCACTGTAGTGAAAATTTACTCATAATAAGGAACAATATCGCGTCACGACTTTTTGACGACAAAACGCTTGAAAGCTTGATCTAAAATCAAAAGTCTTGACGCGATATTGTTCCTTATTGTGAGTAAATTTTTACAATAGTGAATACGAAAACCCTTCTGAACTTCGTATCCGGAGGTAATACAGCGTCAAAACGCCACTCAAAATGATATCAGTCCATTTGAGTGGTAAATCCACGCACAGGAGCGTCACTCCATTTTAACCTCGTCTAGAGGGTTTTCATCTGATATCACTACTTCTGTAAGGCATTTTTTGGGAAACATACACTTTTGCCAAAAATATTAAGGTCTTATTATTATTAGGAAACACATTTGCATCCAAATTAATCCCTGAAAATAGCAAATTTCCACTACCATTGAAAAAGTCCCATTTTCCTCTAATTGCACAATGTAAAATGCGGGAAAATATGATTAAATTTCAAAATAACCATAAAAGAAGAGTGTTGAAGTAATTGTGGACCCCTGTTGCTGTTGTTGTTGTTGTGGGGGTAGTTTATAGAAGTAAAGTAATAAGTAATATATTACTATTTCCTATTACTATTACAGGCTATTACAGTAATGGCTATTACATTTATCCTATTACTTTTCCTATTACATGTAATATTATTAGGTTCACCCTGTCACAAAAGTAATAGCTTCTGTAATAGATCCTATTACATTATGATTTTCCTATTACATGTAATAGTAATCAGATGAAAAACCTCTAGACGAGGTTAAAATGGAGTGACGCTCCTGTGCGTGGATTTACCACTCAAAATGACTGATATCTTTTTGAGTGACGCTTTGACGCTGTATTGCCTCTGGGTACGAAGTTCAAAAGTGTTTTTCGCATTCACTTTTGTGAAAATTTATTTACAATAAGGAAAAATATCGCTTGAAAGTTTGACTTGGAGACTAAATTCAAAAGTCGTGACGCGATATTTTTCCTTATTGTAAATAAATTTTCACAATAGTGAATGCGAAAAACACTTTTGAACTTCGTACCCAGAGGTAATATAGCGTCAAAGCGTCACTCAAAATGATATCAGTCATTTTGAGTGGTAAATCCACGCACAGGAGCGTCACTCCATTTTAACCTCGTCTAGAGGTTTTTCATCTGATATCACTACTTTTGTAAGGCAATTATTCTCGGAAAAATACACTTTTGTCAGAAATATGTCTATTTTAAGGTCTTATCATTGGGAAATTGTAATTTTTCGGGTAAAACATTTGCATATACATTTCACAAGTTTTGTAAATAGCAAATTTCCACTTTCATTAAAAAAGTCCCATTTTCCCCTTATTGGACATTGTAAAATGTGATTAAATTTCAAAATATCCATTAAAAGAGTTTTGAAGTAATTTTAGACACATTACTTCATTGAAACATATTAATTCCAACCACCAAAGCTCTGGAAAGTGCATTTTTATGTATCCCCCGAACAAAAGTTCAATTTCATACATTCAGATGCCAAAATGCCGATTTATGACCAAAATGACAACGAAATGGATATTCAAGTGTTCATGGGCTCCCATTTTTGTCATACGTTTTCCCATTTTCTGTCATACGTTTTCCCATTTTCTGTCATACGTTTTCCAATTTCTTGTCATACGTTTACCCATTCTTGTCATACGTTTCCCCATTTCTGTCATATGATATCAATTTATCCAATTGAAAATGTGACAGTTTTAAAGATAGAACATTAACGGGTTTAAAATTGTTTTGTTCCATTGAATTGTTTTATGTAATTTCAATATTGTTCTGATTTATTTTTTTTATTTATTCAATTTTGGTCACACCTGGCAGAGTAATTGTCATTTTGGTTGCATTTAGGAAACATATTTTAAGAAAAAAAAATTTCGAGTTTTGTTCAACGACCGATTTGAATCGGACAAGTTTTGGTTAGTTGAAACAGTTTTTTAACGTAAATGTTTGTTTTATTAGTATGCGCATTTTGGCCCGCCCGGGAGAATGTCGTAATCGACATATTTAGGTTGTTTGATAAAGCATTATTTAGGTTGTTTAATAAAGCATTATGTAGGTTATTTAATAAAGCATTATTGCTGTGCGATGCACAATTGAAGGTTTTAGGTCATACCATATTGTTTGGCAATATGTTTGTCATGAATGTAAAATATGCATAATCGAAACTATATAAACCGAAGTGAATAAACAGAAAACGCTTAGTTCAACTGAACCTGCACAATTGAATCGTTTCATTTCAAGAAGGTTCGATAGAGCTGAGACAGTACTGTCATTCAAAAGCAACTGGAAGCAGAGATCAACGTACGGTGATATTTCGTGACTACGAAATTGGTTAACGTTTCAATTCTATGGACGCTGCCATATTGAAAATTTACGTGCGATCTGGTGCACGCACTCAATAGTTCCACCTATTTTAATAAGGAATCTATATAGGTGGCGCTGCCACATCGTCATTTACATCGACTCAAATATCGTCAAATATAATAACATTGTTTATACTACTGTGTCCAAAAAGTAAGGTGACATTGCATTTAAAATTTAGCGCGCGGGGGAATTTGAAAAAATCCTTTTATTTTTAGGTTGGTAGGACTGTCTTTGACATCCCTGCCAAATTACACGTCAAAATATTCATTAGTGTTTGAGATACGCTTCGTTTTGTGGACTGCTAAAAGTGAATTTCTCGTTTTTTGCGATGTCGAAATTTGTTGATCAAAGAATTTGCATTAAATTTTGTTTGCGGAATCAATTTTCTGCTGCGGATTCGTTGAGGATGGTGCAGAAAGCCTTTGGTGATGAGGCTATGTCGAAAAAAAATGTTTACAAGTGGTATAGTGAGTTCCAAGCAGGCCGTGAATGTGTCGAAGACGAAGAGCGTGCTGGGCGACCATCAACCTCAACCGACGAAGCTCACGTCCAAAAAATTAAAGATTTAGTGTTGGAAAACCGTCGATTAACGATTAGAGACCTTGCTGATGATATTGGCATATCGAAAGGCTCAGTCAATACCATTTTGAAGGATGTTTTGGGCCTCAAACGCGTCAAATCTCGACTGGTACCGAAATCATTGAATTTTTTGGAAAAAAGGTGTCGAGTTGACGTGTGTGAAACAATGCTTTCTGACTACATTGACAAGACGAAATGCATGATCACTGGAGACGAGACTTGGATCTATGCTTACGACCCGGAAACAACCGACCAATCGAGCGAATATCGTGCCAAAGGTGAGCCGAGACCAAAAAAACCGCGCCAAAGTCGCTCAAAAATCAAGGTCATGTTGACTGTTTTCTTCGATTATCGGGGTGTTGTGCATTATGAGTTCCTTCCCCCGGGTCAAACAGTCAACAAGGAATATTATTTGAGTGTTATGCGTCGTTTGCGTAACGCTATCCGCCAAAAGAGGCCGGAATTGTGGAAAGACAACTCTTGGTTTTTGCACCATGATAATGCATCGTCTCACAATGCGATCATTCTTCGTGAACATTTCGCCAAAAACTCGACTCATATCGTTCCACAACCACCGTTTTCACCTGATTTGGCACCGTGCGACTTCTGGCTGTTCAACAAGCTCAAAAGACCGCTCCGGGGACACCGTTTTGAGACGATAGAGCAGATTGAAGCCGCAGCGAAGACGGAGCTGAGGGCCATCCCTGAAGTCGACTTTTTCAACTGTTTCGAAGATTGGAAAATCCGTTGGCATAAGTGCATTGTATCGGGAGGGGATTACTTTGAAGGCGATGAAATTGATTTGGAAGAATAAATAAAGAATTTTCAAAATAAATGCAATGTCACCTTACTTTTTGGACACAGTAGTATAGGCTTTTTGCGCAGTACGGAGATCAAAAAAAGCAACGAAAAAACCACGGCATTATCTGCCCAATTGGATGATAAAAAAAAATATTGGCGTTGATAACGGAGCAACAACTCAAGAAACAAAACAAATTGATCGCGGTTACACAGACAATCAAATTGTTGCTGATCGGAATATTTTGGTAAATGCAATGAAAAACTTCGGTGAAAAAGGTAAAGTTTCCATTAGGGTGGTCCAAACTGATTTTTCAGGTAAGGTATGTGCTCCCAATAGCTTAAAATAAAATTGGGCTCAAATCTAGCTGATTCCCATTTTCAGTTTGAAAAAAAAAAAAAAAAAATAGGGGTCGGTGTTCCCGTACGTAAAATGGCTGTTTTTGAGCTATTTTTTAACATATACATTGATAGAAAACCCGTAGGTTATTCAATTCGAATCTGGTGACATATAAAAAACATAAAAAGTTTTAGTACAAAAACATGGTTTTTTTCAACAAATTCGGCCGTATGGCGAAATTACATGGTTCTAAGTGTATTTTTAACACTGAATTTGAACTCAGCGCCTCAAATTACCTTAAGACTGACTATGCTGATGACAAAAATCGAATAATCTCAGAACTAAAATTTTCTAGAAGTGTTCACGTATCCAAAAAAATCACATTTTTCCACGTATTTTTCCACCAAAAGTAAATTTTTGTTCAAAGTAGCCATTTTTATGGTTTTTTAGGCCGCAGAATTCGAATCCACCCAAAAAAAATAACAAAATTTTCCGTGGGAAAAATTGATATTTCTATACTTTAGAAA